GGAACTAGCTCCCTCTGAACCCTGCAAAGTGCCACCTGCTGATAATGTGTAGCGCCTTCAACGACCCTTCTGCGATAGCACATTTTGCAACAGGTGTCTAATGATCGAGACTTGAGTATCGTCGTCCAAAACAGTCTTGGCAATTCTCTTCAATGCTTGAAAGCAGCGAATCTGGCAAAGTTAAACTTGAGACTTTCGAGGCGAGCTCTTGGCACCTTTGAGCGACGGCTAGTACCATTGCTGATCTACACCTATCCTCGTCCCCATATTGAATATGCGGTTCAGGTCTGGCACCCTTGGTTAAAAAGCGATATTCCTCTCCTGGAGCAACCCTAAAGAAAGGCTACCAAGGCAACAGGTGGACTATCCGGTCTCATTTACGAACTCCGCCTTCATTTGCCTGCTGCCTTCTCCTTAGTATACCAACGTCTTCACGGGGATCTCGTCCTCACATACTGGATACTAACTGAAAGCCTGCACCCATGTGCCTCATTTCGGACCCTCGCCCCTTACAAATAATGTCGAAGCCATCAACTGAAACTAATGTAGCTAACACTCCCGTTTGGATTGTAGAAGATATCTTTACTCACTTAGAATCGGTTCAAACTGGAATATTCTACCATCACATGTGGTGAACGCACCGGACATCGCGACATTCGACAAATTGCTAGACTTTCATCTTAGTGCTAAACGCTACACAGCAGTGTGATAAAGTGCGACGTCTGTACTACTGATCCTTCACCTTCCACGTTGGAACAATTTTGTTTTTAATTCTCTTTTATTTGTTCCATGCTGTTGGTCTTGTAAAGTTATACTTTTTATCCCTTCACACACACTACTGAAGCATTGATACAGTAGCTGGACGCCTGAGCTGTACCTCGGCTAAGTTTGGAACAATATGTAGCAGTGCATTTATCACGGACAAGAAAGCAGGTGCCAAACAATTTTCGTAAGTAGAGAGCGTGACTAAAACGGGAATTTATCAAGCGAAGTAAGGAGTAACAGTTGACTCACCTCCATTTTCTTGTGTACACGTAGTTTGCTTACGTTGCTCCGCGTCCCAGTAAATTAGTTTTACTTCAAAACTCACAAATGGCTTATAAAGGTTTTATGCACCCTGATACAAGTTAGTTGCTTTGTAACCTTGGGTTTCCGGAGCGCCCTTACCGCGTATGAATTGCTCCGGCAATTCGGGGTTGAGAGCACCAGCTAAACTAGGCAAAAGACACATAATGGATCGTTAGACATTGTGCCTATCACTGCTCACGGATCCCAGTGGCTTGGTGATCAGTTGTCAGTCGTTAAACTTTTGATTTTGAGTTCCCTTCTCAGCTCAGGTTAATTCTGCCTAATGACTCCAAACGAGGACGAAACCGGTTATGGGGTGTTAGTGGTGGGAATGGCAACACCGAAATCCCTCCACTTCGGAGGTACCGTACTTTTCGGACTATAAGACGTACTTAAAATCCTGATATTTGCTAAAACTTCTGCGGTGTACCTTATATTCTGGTTCGCCCTCGAATCAATTTCTATGTGCACATGGCGCTGAAAAATCTGTCAAAATATTTTATTATGACTTTGCTTGTCGAAGCATTATCGCTGATCAGGTACCTCGTGGAGTCAGCTTGCTATGTTGTTTAGACAGACTTGTTTTGTGGGTAGCAAACTCTGTGCAGAAGCCAACGGATTCGAGCTTTTTGGGCCAAGATAAACCAACCACCTATTCAACCATCCAAGCTGATATCCCATACTTTGATATATGTGATGGTTACTCCACCCGGCAAAATCACTTGGTCCAACAATACACCGTGCAAACATTGTCCAAAACACGCCTTAGCATCTTGCTGGTTGCAGGTGAGTGTTTGAACACACGAACAGCGCTCACACCAGTGTTCCAAAAACGTGCGGTCATCCAGACAGTCGGCGACGTTCGTGTGGGCTTCACTCCATCATCGTTCAAACTGCGGAGAAATGCGTGATAACCTACCATCTGGTCAACATATGACGTCAAGCAAGATAACATTTTTCAGCGCGTCGCATGCTCGCAATCAAGACGAAGTTTGTTCGCTTATCTCTACCAGTTTTCTTGTTACGTACTGTGCTTCACCTGACCGGTAATTAAGGACCCCAAAATGACCCCCGTTAAGAGATATGCTTATGAAGCGGATTTCAAACTCAAGGCCATCAGCCACGCAGTACACCATGGGAATAGAGCAGCTGCGAAACAATTCAACATTAATGAATCAATGGTACGGAAGTGGAAGAAGCAAGAAGATGACCTGCGTCAAGTAAAGAAGCCAAAGAAGAGTTTCCGAGGAAACAATGCAAGATGGCCACAGTTAGAGGATAAAATTGTGCAGTGGATTACTAAACATAGAACAGACGCTAGAAGTGTCTCTACAGTCTCCATTTGATACAAGGCAATAACGCTGGCACATGATATGAAGATGAACGACTTTCAAGGAAATCCTTCTTGCTGCTTCCGTTTTATGAAAAGGCGCCATCTCTTCATCCGTACAAGAACTACCACCTCGCAACAACTGCCAAAACATTAGGAAGAAAAGTTGGCCATCTTCTGCACTTACTGTAAGAACAAAATCACCAAAAAGAAGATCCACTCAGACCACATCACAAACATGGACGAAGTTCCTCTCAGCTTTGACATCCCCGTGAATCGTACTGTTGAAAAAACAGGGACGTCTACTGTATCTATACGCACCACAGGGAACAAGAAATCATCCTTCACTGCATTTCTCGGTTGCCAAGCTAATGGCCAGAAACTACCACCCATGGTCATTTTTAAGAGAAAAACTTTGTCAAAAGAAACCTTTCCTGTTGGGGTCATCGCCAAGGTCAACTCAAAAGGCGGAATGGACCAGGAGAAAATGAGCGAGTGGCTGAGAGAAGTTTACGTCAGGAGACCAGATGGCTTTTTCCACCCATCTCCGTCCTTATTGATCTACGACTCTATGTACGCCCATCTCACCGCAACTGTCAAACGCCAAGTGAAGAAAACTAATTCGGAGCTTGCCATCATTCCGGGAAGATTAACCAAAGAACTCCAACCGCTAGGTATTGGTGTCAACTGGGCGTTCAAAGTTAAAGTGCGAGCCGCATGGGAGCAGTGGATGACAGAAGGTGAGCACACATTGACCAAGACAGGGAGGCAACGCCGGGCTAGTTATGCCACTATCTGCCAATGGACCACCGATGCCTGAGCCAAGGTATCGGTCTCAGCTGTCGTCCGAGCTTTCACGAATGCCGGAATCATCAATAAACAGCCAAGCAACAGCAATGAGACTGACTCAGATGATGAGGAGAGGTATCCGAGCTTGCTTGATGCCGCTATCGCCCAATTGTTATACCCCGACACTGAAGATGAAGAAATTGATGGATGTATAGAAGAGGAATGGTTGAAAAAGTGGATGTATTTTGCTGTGTTTCATGTGTGTTACAAGTGCACAATCTTGAAAGTTATTGTTAATGAGTTGAATTAAGTGTGACCTATCTGACTATTTTGTTTCGCTTTATAATCCGGTGCGCCTTATAATTGAAATGAGATCCGTTCACTGATACTGCGTCTTATCATCCGAAAAATACGGTACTCCTGGTGATCCGAATGACCGAGGTCTACTTCAAAGTAAACCGAGCCACAACAGCAATTGCTTCTCACAATCTAACCACAAGGCTGGTACTCCAAAGCCCAATCTTGAATTACACCTAGATCGGTTCAAGCACTGCCACCGGAACTGAGGATGACAAAGATCAAACACTTTCGATCCTAGTACTGTGACTACTGGGCTTGTCTTTGTCAGACGACTCCCGACCGGTACCTATTTCAACCAGCACAAAAACTTGCAGGTAACGCTCAGTAAAACGGTTGCGGATTAAAAGGCATTTCATACGTTTTCAGCACAGATCGTTGATGTAGTGGTACAGACAACTACGTTTCTGGTTCAAGTTTCAGTCCAAACACATAGGTTGAGTGCTTTGAGATCCGTGGCAACTGATACCTGTCGCAGAACTTTAGATCTATACTTATTCATCGTGCTTTTAAAAGCTCCCCCTTGTGATACTATTTCCTCGAGTATACTCCATTGCATTCTACATTTACCATGAATTCTAAATCCTGGGTAGTGTTTCGCCGATATCCAAGCGCAAAAACTTGCCTAACTCCAACCATCGGAGACATTATTTGGTCTCACTCATTGCATTGGCTTTCGAACAAACTATCACTCGTTCAAATCCAACATTGCTTAGTTCAGCTACAGATCTCAAGACAAATTCACCCGTTGCTCTCGAGACTCTCAACGAAGGGTAACCATGAATGTCAGGGGCCTCTTTCCTCTGCCGTATCAGCTTAGACTGGAATCTCTAAGAATATACAGCAGTCGATTTCGTCTTTTGTGGGGAGGGGACTCATAATGTTTTACTAGACACTGAAGAACCCAAACCACATTTGCCGCCCGCTGCTGCCATTGAAGCACTATACTAACCTAAGAGGTCATCATCTGAAACTGACAATACAGTATACCTGGCTTGAATGCCGTGGAGATTTCTTTTCCCTCCGCATGTGCCAACCTTGGAACGTCCCCCCTAATTATGTTGTCTCTGCTCCCAATCTGGCGATATATAAAAAACGTGTTGACGATGCGTTGTCTCATTTGCATTTCATTTTATGACTTGTTAGCCAAGGGCTACAAAACGCAATCAAACGGTGTCTTGCCAAACTCCCAACCAATGGATTTATGGATTTTACGTTTAATAAGCGAACATCTCCGCTATTCTACATAAGTCTATGGTGAGTGCACCAAAACGCTTTTCACTTAATCATGCAATTTAATTTCCGCGATAATTTCCATCCCACGGGACTTGATAAACATTGCTTTTTTACCCGTAATACACCATTGTTCCACTGTTAACTAATCCCTCAATATTTTCTGCTCCTCTTCGACATATGATATAACTGTATCTTCAAGTATACAAGTATAGTTGCTTTTGAGGACAAGCTATGTCAAGGCTTGCTCATGCAACAGATACGCATGTTAACGAATTCAGATGTAAGCATCTTATAACTGTTTCAAGAAGTTCACTCTCGATCGTCCACTCGGTGACATATTTAGTCTTTCCTATCTTGAAAGAATTGACAAATTAATGGTCTGTAGTTGACTCGAGAGCATTGCAGTGATGCTTAGCGGAAGTTGTGTAGATGCGCTGGGTTCCCGGACTCGGAGTTCTATAGCCATAAACATACCGATTCGGAGCTAGGATTTGATGGGACGGAGAACCGAGGGCTTGGACGCATTTGTTATGCAACTCTTAGTAGACGCTCTTCCCTGTTTCTTTTAAACATATGGAAAGGATCACCGCTTAATTCACGGGAATAGTAAAGCTGTTGCTCTATACGTGTGTCGCCATGAGGCCTCTTAAAACCATCACTACTGGTGACACAGAGGCGTCAGCAATACACCGGTCTTTTGTACCGTTGTTTGGCTGTCCGGTGATTCTACTGAGCTGCCCAAATCACTACAAGGGCACGGACTTACAGAGATTGAAAGCCGGACTTCAATGTTGAGTTTCCCACTTAAACGGTCGTTAGGATTCCACATCCATCTTTAATTTCCGTGGAAATATTATATGATCATCAAGAAATACTTCCTGTATACATCGCTCACTTGCTCGTTATCATGCGTTTTCGCTCTGTTCCGCAACCACTGGCTAAAGAAAAACAACCAGCATTTTTGTACATCAGCAATCGATCTGTTCTATTTCACTGTTCACAAGGAATAGCAGTGGAATATCGATCGTGCCGGGTCTTTACAGCAGTTCTGTCCGCCGTAACGGTTGGTTGTTGCGTTCGATCGACCTGTACGACCAGTACGAACAATCGTATTGGTGACAAAGCGACAGTTATCGATCTTCGCCAGTACAACACGTGTTGTAAAGGCACTGCAAGTACAGAGCAAGAGGTATAATGCACTGTGCACGTTTTTTCCTCCACCACCTCATCATTCCAACGTTAATGTTGGAAACTTGTCACTCTTTCCTCTTCTTCTTCGTCCTCGTCATCCTCCGCAGATAGTACACTATCGAATCCGACCTCTTCGTAATCCTTTTCCAAGGAGGCTAAATCTTCCCGAGCCTCGGCAAACTCTCCCTCCTCCATTCCTTCGCCAACGTACCAATGTACGAATGCGCGTTTAGAATACAGTAGGTCGAATTTTTTATTCAACCGCACCCAAGCCTCAGCAATTGCCGTGGTGTTACTTAGCATGCAAACCGCACGCTGAGTTTTGGCCATGTCACCTCCGGGAAGTACAGTGGGCGGCTGGAAATTGATGCCAACTTTGAATCCTGTAGGGCACCAATCCACAAATTGGATACTCCGCCGGCTCCGTAGCTCATCTACAGATTGATGTACCTCTTTCGGGACCACATCGCCACGATATAGTAGGCAACATGCCATGTATTTTCCATGTCTTGGATCGCATTTAACCAACTGATTTGATGGCTCAAAACACGAACGTGTCAGCTCCGGAGTGGTCAATTTTTCGTGGAATGCTTTTTCGGCCGAGATTGTCGGAGCGTAGGACACAAGGGGGTAGTGAATTCGGGGATAGGGAACTAAATTAGTCTGAAATTCCATCAAGTCCACATTCTGACACCCTTCGAAGCGCAACGCGACTGTGATGGAGCTGACAACCTGAGCGATCATTCGGTTGACGTGGGTGTAAGTGGGCTGAATAATATCCAAATTCCGTCTATAAGTTAGAGAAAGAAAACATCACTTGTGGACACTGTAAACGACAACTTACCGGCACACATCGAATAGAGCTTCATTGTCCACCATAAATGCACAATCAGTCAGCTCCAGTGTGGTGTGGGTGTTCAAGATGGAGTTATACGGTTCCACCACGGCTGTGGAAATCTGGGGTGAAGGATACACGGCAAATTCTAGTCTGGACTTTTTCCCATAGTCTGCCGCTATCCGTTCCATCAGTAAGGAGGTGAATCCAGAACCAGTTCCTCCACCGAATGAATGGAACAGGAGAAAACCTTGTAGTCCCATGCACTGATCAACCAGCTTACGTATCCGGTCCATTGTGATCTCGATTACCTCTCTACCCATAGTGTAGTGACCGCGCGCATAGTTGTTCGCCGCATCTTCTTTGCAAGATAGGAGTTGTTGTGGATGAAACAATTTTCGATACGTCCCCGTTCGCACTTCGTCCAGCACAGTGGGCTCTAGGTCAATCATGATTGCTCGCGGTACGTACTTTCCGGCACCGGTTTCGGTGAAGAAGGTGTCGTGGGAGTCGTCATTTATATCAGGTTTGGAATCGGGACTCGTTAGTCCATCAGGTTGAATGCCATGTTCGAGACAAAACAGTTCCCAACACGCGTTGCCGGTTTGTACACCACATTGTCCAATGTGTATGCTGATACATTCCCGCTAAATACAAAGGAAAGTGAAATAAGCCAATGTATGGTATCCCGCGTGAAAATGTACGGGCGCAAATGGTCCGCTTTTCAGGTAGTGTTCTTGGTTTAATTCAGAAAACTTACCATTTTTAGGAACTGGATGAGTAGCCCGTATGGTCTCAATGGGTCGAATTTTCAAAGATATCGATCGGGTCACGGAACGACACCGTCGCACCAATAACAGTCGACCAGTGTGCACGGGATTACTCAGCCATTTCTCTGCACTTCTGGATAGAAGTTCATCTAGTTCAGCTGATTTCGGGCTTATATTTGCATATGATGGGTAACTACTGAAGATCATGTGAAAATAGAAGGGCCATGTGGAACCGTATTAATTACAGTGCGCTGCAACTGGAGGCTAAGGAATACTTGCCACCGTGTAACCTGAAAAGCTGAGCCAAGCCAAATCCTCACAGCAGAAGAGGAAAAGTATTCAGATAGGTGGAAATTGGATGTTGCTGGCCCGAAAACACTTCACAACCATGACACCTTTCGATTGCGCAACGCAATCCAATCACAAAGTGTAATGCAAAAGTGACTCTCCAATTATTCAGATAAGTGCTTTAATCATTATTAGGATGAGATACAGCCAGTGACAGCGGCATCGAATGCGAGGCGAAAGGTCTTTGTCTAAGTGAAATGTGCTTTAGAAACGGACGCTGGGGCAAATGGTTTCTTGGCTGATCTCCGGGATGCGATATGGCTATTCAATTTAGTCAGGTTTGCACCATTGGTACGTCCCTCTACATGTATGTCTGAGAGAGAGCAAACCTCAGGCGTGCGACCTACCCAAAATACCCTGGATAAATTAACACTCCGTCAATCGTTTCGAGCTGTGCTTTGCAGCGTGGAAATGCAAAGTCCTTCTCAAAGGTTGCCAGCGACCCACCTCTGCACTGATCCTTGCGGATGATCAGCGTGAATTCTTTCAAAAATTATGTACCTAAGCCGCTATGTTACTACTGCTGGGACGAAGATGAAGTCACAACCCTCATACCAAAAGTTCGAGGCGCATTTACCAATCTCCGCATCTGCTTCACCGACGCGACATCACTTTCTCCATGAAAGGTAAAGCATACAATGCAGCCGTACGTTCGACTCTACTGTCAACAGACATAAGGAGGCTAGTTACATTCGACCACCGGTGCCTCAGCAATTAGGCTGACATCTGGTGGGAACCCCGCGTGAGCAGTGAGTGCGTTCGGCTTCGCGTGTTCGGTGCAAGTTGAAGTAGTGGAGAAAAAAGAAAATACGATTGTACACAAAACAGAAAGCAGCTTAAACAAAATCTAACTTATGTGAAAAATAAAAGTAACGCAAAATTAGTTGGTGATCCACGCACGAAACCGACGTGGTGTTGGAATAGAATGAATACTTCACAATTGGATATGAACATGAAGAAAAACCGAGAATACCGGGATACATTTATCCGGACACGGGTTTCCAAAAACAGCCTCAAAAAATAGGGTACATAAATGCGAGCTGGGAGCGTCATGGCCTGTCGAAGACCGGTAGACAAAAGGCGAAACATAAAGAATAGGGGCTGGGCCCAGAGGTAAGGCACTGTGAGGATACAGGAAGATCCACATTGCTTCCCAACCGAAGATCGATACGTTTAACGCCTGGAACGAGGGGAAGTGAGCACAGCCAGTTAGCAATAACAAGCCGGAATGAAAAGAAGTATTGGGACTGCCAATGACAAACCACGCATGGGGGACTCAGATGCAGTTAGCTGATGGAACCCCGGGGGTAATGGCGAATTGATGGGAAGGTTGCGAGTCGCGGTTTGGTGCAGGAAGCGCGAGTGAACAGCTCAGCACCATAATATCACGCATCAGGCTCCGATATCCAGCTGGCATTAGCAGTACGCCGGTACGCAGTACCGACGCTTCGCTGCCGTGCAACCACCACCGGACACACGATGGCTAGGGATGCTGCGGGAGTCGCCCGGTCCCTACCGAGGCTCGAACCCGAGACCTCAGATTACAAGGCACGCTTGCGATCCTTATGGCTACAGGCTGACTCTTCAGTTATGGTCCCAGTAATCAAATTGACTAACGGTTCACTTCAAGTGGTATCACGGTCTACATTGAGATTGCGACCCGTAAGTTCTTCACAACGAGTGCCTCAGAATGATCCCTGCAATTAGTTCTAACGGTTCTTATACTGCATCGATTGAATACCATTGTACGATATCGAAAGTCCAGCACACTCGTGTAGAGACTTGTCACCCAAAGTCCATTTGGTGTGTACATCCTTCTCCGCATCTTTTTGGATGCGTATCGACCAGTCCACAATTCATCGAATCATTCACCCGTCCACCGCTCCAAATCAAGCTTAGGTACGCAAGAGTGGAAACGCTTACTGGGATCTATTTCCGCTGATCAACGAGCCTTGGATGGAATGTCGCGTTACCAGTCCATTGATCCGGTCGTAGGAAAGTGAGTATGGGAAATTTGTGTAATCGTAACCAGAACCCAAATGTGGAAAGCTGGCTAATTTGTGTATCGGTTAGGAGACAGCCGCTGTGTTAGTCACATGTTGCGGTTCGAACCATGTTCACACACACAGCGGTTTCTGTAGAGTTACGCCTCACACTACGCGTATTGTCGCCGTGTTGAATTCAATTCAGCAGTGTATGATGGGATAAAAGGTAGTGTGATGGGAGTGTCATGTCAGAGTGTACGGCTGGATCAAACGAGCGAACCAGACAACCAATGAGAGACGGACGTAGCGGATTCCTCCACTTGATAATGACTGGCTGACATTCTTCGGACTTACTCATGATTTGTTTAAGTGAGTCAAGGGAGGATCGTCGTTGGCTCAAAATGGCGTTATTTATGAACATGAACCGGCAATTTTAATCGAGGAGTTTGGCTTTTCAAACATGCTGTGATTTCAGCTGCTGTGTCTTTGCCGAATATACACTTGTCGCTGAAGGATTGAGTTATGCAACAAACAGCAGTATTACTAGACCAACATGATAGAAAATGCAAAATAAATAGTAAACTATTACAGCGCAAACCGTGAACTCTCACTAAACCAGATGGTGCAGATCTCATTCCTTCAGGAACAAGCTTTTATTCGTCAAAGGCAACTCGGCGAAAATTACAGCACGTTTGGCATGCCAAACTCCTCGAGATAATTTCGTGCAGAAAGTCCATTTGGTTGTCAAATCAGAGAAGAAACGTAAGCAGAACGCTTAGGAAGAAATCAAAAACAACTGTTCACCTTATGCGTCTTGCTTACGTTTCTCCTCGATATGGGTTATGCGTTCACGTCCATAACTAATGACCCTTCTGAGGCAAGGGGGTACTTCTTTTGACTCAGTTAAACAAGCGATAACTAGCTCACACGAATGTCGGCCAATGCATATCTAGCAATCAAATCACTTATACCGGCCTCCCATTGGTTATCCTGGCTCGCTCGGTTGGCCAGTTCATTCGTTCTGGCATGACACTCCTATCACACCAGAAATAGCACTTGGACATAATGTTGCGTGGCGTTTATCACGTAGATGGATGTATAATAGTCTTTCAAAAGTCATTATATTTTGTGCATTCGTCACAGGTATTGGTACTGCATTCCCATGTGAACAGATTCCAAGAGAGCAAAAGAACTTTTTCCAATTTAATAGGGCGTGTTAGCTGCTAACTTCAAGTCGAGGCATTGGCATCGATCGTAAATGAACTAGGGTCGGTAATGAAGTACACGGATGATCACTCACTGTCAATGTCCAGTATGTGAGAATGAAATCCTCCACAATGTCGTCGGTATTCTGGGGAGAAGCGATTGATTGAACGAAGGCGAAGTTCACAAGTGATACTGGATTTTGCCCGTGTTGCCTTCGTTGCTTTTCACCGGAGCTGCTCCAGAAGTCAAATGTCTCGTTTTAAGATGGACAGCAGGATTGAACCGCATACTCAACGTGAGAAAGTATATAGGAGTTTAGCCATTGTGGGAATAGTTGTCGCTCAAAATTACCAACAGCTCGTCACAAAAGCCCTAACTTCACATTTGCCACAGTTGCTGCTCGCAAACATTAAAGCGAATTTCCCCCACACCTGCATAAGCAATGCTACCGACGTCCATTTCATTGACTGCATGCAGTAGAATGAACAATGAATGTATACGGGTTAAGAAGCGTCGCTTTACAAGTCCCGTTGGATAGTTGGTGGGATTATCGAAATAATAATAATAACAACGATAATAATGGTAAAACAGTAAGTACTTTAAATATGAAAATAAAGACTTATCGTTTGTTCTGCCGTAGTCCTACAATCTATTTAGATTCACAGCACCTACAAGTAACATCAAAAAAATCCATGGTAAACTCCAGGTGCAGGATGGAGGCGTAGCGCTAAGTGACAAAATGGATGAGTTTGTCATCCAACCGTCTTTTAAATACTGTTTATGTCGGTGCAGAGACGACTGATTCTGGGAGAGCATTCCACGGGTGACAGACACGAATGGAAAAGAAATTTCTGCGGCACTCCAGACGGCTATACTGTTCTGCAAGTTTCACTGAGTGGCCCCTCAGTTTTGTTATGGTGCTGAGTAGCAGTAAAGGGCGGCACACATGATGTGGTTCTCGCAGAATCAAGCATGCCATAATCAGGTCGCCTCATAGTCTCCGACAGCTTCTGCTGAATACCCCCAGTCGTTGCAGCCTCTCCTCGTATAGAAGGTTGCGCATTCCAATTACGTTCTTAGATGCCTAACGTTGTGGCTGCTTCAGTGCATTAAGGTCGTGTTTCGGCCATGGATGCCAGGCTTGGATTGCGTATTCAACATGGGGGCGAACATACGCACTGAGCATTTGTCGAAACATGGAGCTGTTTATTTGTCCAAATGCCCGTCGCGACAGCCCGACGTGTTGGTTCCCGGTCTTCGAGGCCTTTTCGGATTGCCTGGAGCAACCCAGGTCATCTTGAACCAGGACATCAAAGTGACGCTGGACAGTTGATCGTTGCAGTACCTTCGTTCCGAGCCTGTATGACTGGCTGCTCTGATGTTGGATGGAAAGTATCTTGCATCCACTCACGTTGAAATGCAGTACATTTTGGGCTGACCATTAATATACCGTACCTGGGTCAATCTGAAGCAGGTGCTGGCCAGGGT